GTTTTTACCATGATTGGTTTTTATCAATTATTGTGCTTAAAAATGTTAATATCATTTTAAAAAATTTTTCAGTGATAGAAGACGTGTTTTTAATACAGAAGAAATAAAAATACCGTATTTCATAATTTTGTCATTTATCGGGTTTTCGCTCGAACCCCTCGATATTTCTACCGATTCAAAAGTAAATATAGATGTTTTTTTGTCAGTGTTTAGATTCAAATATCGAACCTTTTGTTATAAGCCAGGTAAAACTCAAGTTTAAAATACGCACGTATTTTGTTAATTTGTATTATGTAAATTTATGATGCCCCCTGATAAAAAAAAGGTTTTATTTGTTTTCTATGTTAAAACGCAATAAACCATGAATTCCCCTAATATTAAAGTTGTTTTTCGTTATTAGTCGAGGGTCAAAAAAAGAATATTTGTTTGTTTAGGCAATAAAGGAATATTTAAAAGGTTTTTTTTTCGATACGAGCGAGGGGATATTGTTTTGGTTCTTGAGTTTGTGGGGACAGGTTAGCTGCAAGACGGAAGGGAAATTTTTGGCTAGTTTCTTGTAAAATGTAACGAAGCAAGGAAGACGACTTTTGAGTTCCAAACGGGGCAGACATGGACAATTGAGACCAAGATTTGATTTGAAAAGGAGTCGACATTTAGATTCCAAGCGGGGCAGACATGTGATAAAGAGTCGAGATAGAGATGCCAAACAGGGCAAACATGTGAGAATAGGTCGACGAGATTAAAAAGAGCAACGAGGTAGGCAGGTGATGTAAGGCAGCTCGAGTTGAAAGGACTTGGGCATTTTTCATAAACAGCCGGTAATTTTGTGTAATGGGTTAATTAATCAGACCTGTAAACAGTGGACTCTCCGTAAACATGACGGATTAGCATAGAGAAACCACTAAAAGGATTTATGCAGTATACCAGAACATGGTAAAATTTTAAAGCAGTACATAGGGTGTGCCACCAGCTTCGTGTGTCATCTGTTTGCCCCAACCTCGTTCCTGAGTATAGAAATGTTTCCTATGTCCCAGTTAGAGGATTTGTACAAGTAGCTTCCAGTCAGAGATGTAACAAGTTTTTTTTTAAGTTGAGTGACGAAATATGTAAATTTTAAGGTAACAATTCAATATATTAATTTTCAAAGTAAAGACAGATATTTTTTGGCTAAAGTAATAATTGCTTTCATTCTTTGTCATCAAAATTAAATGTGATACCTGACAGCAAGTTTAATTTGTTTTTTTTTGTTATGACAATTTTAATTTGATAATTATGTAGAAACGATATTTCATATATAAGTTTAAATTTATATGTTTTCATTAAGAAGGATCCTTAATTTTTGATAATCTAATTGGCCATAATATAGTAAACAAAGAACATGTAAGTTTTTGTTATTTGTATTATGTTATATGATATGTTTCTTTTATAATATGTATTTTTGATCTGTTTTGTTTGAGACAAAAATAAATGTTTAATTTGTTTCTCTGATCTGTTTTGAGTTTTATTTGAAAAAGATATTTTTTTCTATATTTTTGATGTTATACAATTATTTCCCTAGTTACAACTAGTGGTTGTAATAGGTATAATTGGGCACCTCAAGTGGCGCCCTATATTAAATTTCTTGAGGTGTTTTCGTTTATTTTCATTCTGTTTGTCCCAAGAGATTTGTATAAGTACCCCTTTATTTCTTTTCTTTGTAGTTGCCCCAATCTAACCCCCAATATCTTCAACTTATCCACGACCCAGCTCTCCAACAACCAACTGAGTGTCCGTATGCACTTGTTTCGATTATTTTGTTTGCCCAATCTTGTCCCCCATATTCTTACCCTGTGGTAAGCAAAATAGTCGTTACAAGCTCTATCTCTGTTATTTGGAATAGATGCTAGCATTTTGGTTTTTTCCTCGTTTATTTTAAGGCCCATATTTTGTGCGGCTGTCAAGAAGGTGGAAGTCATCTCTTTAAGTCCTCGTGTAGTACGTGCAATCAAATCCAAATCGTCAGCGTACGCCATAATCTGCGTTGATTTATTAAAGATTGTTCCCCTATTGTGTAACTCGGCATCTCTTATAGTCTTTTCTAACGCTATATTAAAGAGAAGGCACGCCAGCGCGTCTCCCTGCCGTAACCCTGCATATGTTTCAAACGCTTGTGACATATCGCCTTGTATTTGCACTCTGCAGATCACTTTACTCATAGTTGTTTTTACAAGCCTTATTAATTTATGAGGAATGTTAAGTTCATTCATGGCTTCGTATAATTTACCTCTTAGGACGCTATCATACGCTGACTTAAAGTCCACAAAGAGATGGAACGTGTCAATATTAAATTCATTGGTTTTTTCTAAGATTTGACGTAGCACAAAAATCTGATCAATTGTTGACCTACCTGACCTAAAACAGCTTTGATACTCACCAAGGATTTCTTCCACGTACGTACTTAAACGGCTGTACAGGGTGTTGGAGAATATTTTGTACATTGTATTCAGAAGAGTTATACCCCTATAATTTTTACATTCCAACAAATCTCCCTTTTTGTGTAGTGAACATATGATTCCAGTGCACCATTCCTCTGGCATTTGTTCTTCTTCCCAGACTTTGACTATTATGTTGTGAATTTGGTGCATAATGCTGTTAGCTCCATGTTTGATGAGCTCTGCGGGGATACAATCCACTCCTGGGGACTTGCTATTTTTGAGTCGCGTGATTGCGTCTTTCACTTCAAATATTGAAGGAGGTTCTACGTGAGTGTTATTTCTTGGTCTTTGTGGTGACGCATCATTTTCCACTTCGGTACCAAGTAGTTCTTTGAAGTGCTCAACCCATCTGCTTTGTACTGCGTCAGCGGTACTGACTATATGTCCATTTTTGTCTCTACACATCGTCAGCCGTGGTTTAAATTCTTTTCTTGTCTTATTTAGGATATTATAGAACTTTCTAGTTTCATTTTGCCCCTTTAATGATTGAAGCTCTTGCATAATCTGGTTTTCGAAGGTCCGCTTTTTCCTTCGATGTATGCGTTTTTCCTCCTTCCTAAGATCTTTGTACATTTGCTCCTTCTCCCGTGTTCTTCTTTGTTGCATAAGTTTATATGCATAATTTTTTCTTTTAGTGATATCTTCACATTCATCGTCGAACTAACTGTTGCGTGGAGTGGATTCTTCTGGTCCTAGGACGTTGTTTGCCGCTTTCTTAATTGTTCTTCTACATATATCCCATTGCTCGCTAGCTGTTAAATTCTCATCTGTTGTGCTTTCATGTTCAAGGTAATTTTGATACCTTTCTAGTGCACGGGGCTCTTTCAAGAGTTTTAAATTTTATCGAGTACTTTTCTTACCCTTTTCTTTTTTTGCATTTGAGATTCTTGCTCTTATTTTTGCGCCTACTAAGAAGTGGTCTGAATCTAAACTAAATTACCATAACTTTTTATAAAATATATTTTTATTAAATTATAGATAATTTTTGACGCCGTGTTAAATTGAACTGGATGTTAACTGAACTGTTTTGTTATTAAGAACATATTTACATAATTTCATAAATATATTTAATGATCAACCTACGCCGAATGAGCAAATAATAAAAAAAAATGGTTGGTGTTTTGAATAAATCTTTGTGCAGTTTGATTACCTTGTAATTTAACAGCATCCTTACTCATCTACAAATATTAAATTTTAAAGAACATTTATCATATTTATTTAAGAAAATCTTACCAACGCATTATCTGATAGAACAAATGAGAAACTTTGATTATCCCTAATAATAAAATTCAAAATAGAACTAACTAATTAAATAAATAGAACTAACAAAGCATTAAACAAAAATAATAGAACAAATCTAACGGTAACTTTAACATCCTGATAATAAATAACAAATAATGTAAACTAAATGTAAACAAATAATTTTTAACGGGTTTTTACCCAATATTTAGTGGCTACATTTATGTATACCTAGACAATGATGATGGAATATGGATTCCAAAAACGTTTTTGTATAACATAGCCCAATTGAGTTTTTAAATATATACCTTTTATAAAGGATTTTTAATAAATTTTTTAATATATGGTATACAGCCAACTACAGAAACGTAGATTCCTTGTGGATATTATCATTACTTTTAAAAAAATAATAAATTAGCTGGATAATATTAAAATTTATTGGTTTATTAAAACTATTCTTATGAAATTCAAGCTAAATGCTACCAAAACCTCTAAGTTGGTTGCCTAAATTTGGCGCAACTTAACGATATAAACTAAATCAGCCTAACTTTTTTATAAAATATATTTTTTATATATAATAGCAACTTACTTTCTTCATATATGCGATAAATTTCTAAGCGAATTTAATTTTTGGCTCTTTTATCATTTAAGTCAGTCGTTAATTTCCTTTTGTGACTTTTGTCCAACTTTATATTTATGCACACTTTTTCTGAGACTTTTAGATATTGGGATGTTAACTGAAATGTTTGTGTTATTAAGAACATCTGTAACATTTACCTAATTCGATTAATACATTTTAATGATAAACTTAACAGAGTTTCCATTCTGCAAATAGTTAAAAAAAATAGCAGGCATTTTGAATATACCTTTGTGCAGTTTCATTTCCTTGTAATTTGACAGCATCCTTGCTCATCTAAAAGTATAAACTTTTAATTAACATTTTATCATATTTGTTAAAGAAAAATGTACCAACGCGTTATTGAACGCAAAATAGAACCAACTAATTAACTAAATAGAACTAACAAAAGAATTAAACAAAAAAAAAATAAAACAATGAAACTATATTAAATAAATTAAACAATGCGAATAATAGAAATATTTCCTACAATATGTTAAACTGTAACAACTGAAATATTGTATTTTAAATATACAGAGATAATTTTATGGGTTTAGTATACACTTCCACTATTTCGAATAATTCTTCTTTTTTCAAAGGAAGAAGTCTGCAAGTAGGAACACCTTATGAAGTTCTTTTGTAATTTTAAAAATCTTCTTTTTTCAGATACAAGATAGCCTAACCTATTTGTATAAAATTTAATGAAAATTTTTTGAAGTAAAAAGTGTTAAAATGTTTAATGTCCTAATCAGAGTGTTTCCAAAAAATGTATTACGTTGTAAAGTACCAGTGTGTCATCTATCAAGTTCTCCAATACTTCTAAATATTGAAAAATTGCAAAGGTTTAGAACTAGTGAATCAGACTGTTTAAAACACACAAGTGATCATATAGCTCAATTCTATCAATTATCAGAGAAGGAAAAGAAACAGATCTTTTTGCATGGCGGTATTCCGAAATCGTTCAATGTACAAACTAAAACATTCAATGAAACTTGTTTGATGATCAGACAACCCTCCCTAGACATTATAAATTGCCTAAAGAGTATTGATCATTCGAAACCCACAGTACGGTTTGTTTTGTATGGCAAAAAAGGTAGCGGTAAGACGCTTTGTTTAGCTCATGTTCTACATTATGCTCACAAAGCAGGGTACCTCATTGTACATATACCATGGTTGGGCAATTGGATGCGTAGATGTCAAGAATATAGCAACAGTGATACCAAAGAAGGTTTCGTTGATTTGAATATAGATGCTGCCGCTTGGTTGCTACATTTCAAAACACAGAATTCTCATATACTCTCAAATCCAGAGGCAAAAACTACTAAAGAATATGCTTGGAGTAAGAGAGAAATAACCCAAAAGGATTCTCCCCTTTCAGAACTTATTGATCATGGAATAAACAGGGTAAACATTTTATTGTAATATATGCATATCATATTTCCCGTTTATACTGAACGTCTCTTGATTTTATTAATTTTTTTTAGGTGAAATATGCTTCAGATACTGTAGTAGCCTTATGTGATGAAATTAAAACACTCTCTGTTAGAGGAGTATTCAAAACTTTGGTAGCAGTTGATGGATTCAATGCCTTCTTTTATCCTAACACTAGAGTATACACAGAGAAAAAAGAAATGGTACATCCTCAAAAAGTGACCCTTACTGAAGGTTTTATGAATTTAACAAAGTTTGATTGGAATAATGGAGCTGTTGTTGTGACTGTAGATGAAATAGCAATTGCTGAGAAAGATCAGATATCGCATATGCCTAGGTAACTGTTTTTCAAATTCAATTCCACAAATAATAAATTTAACTTTTGGTACAATTATTCGCAAACATTGCTTACATGCCTGCTCTAAATTTTGAAATTACCATGGTTGTGAATGTCATTACGTGAGCTTAAGGTAAATGGTCATTTTAAATTGTTTTTTTTTTTAGGTATTTGCTTGGCAAAGATGGTTTTGAACATCTAGATCCATTTGTTCCAGTACATGTGCCAGATTACTCAAAAAAAGAACTGACCAGTTGTATGGATTATTACAGAGAAAGGAAATGGGTCAAAGATTATCCTGGACTAGATGAGGAAGTACAGTTTGTTAGTGGTTCTAATCCTTATAGATTAATGAAAGTTTGTGCACCATTATAGAAAGTTTAATAAAGCTTTATTTTTATTTTCCAATCCATATTTTTATGTGAACTATTCCTTCTAAGAAGAAAAAAGTGTTTAAGCTAAAAATAAAGGTTTTTTGCAGTATAATGAAACCAAGGTCATTTAATAAGTTTTATTAATAGATAAATTGAACATTTAATACTAGTCAAAATCAAATATACATTAGCAAGTCAATAAATGCAATAAAAAATAACAAAATCATTTTCCATACTCTCAAATTAGATCAGAGACTTAAAAATTAGAATTCACAGATATATATTTTTTATTTAAACTGATATTCACACTATGAATAGGCTTATATTGGTGAAAAAGAGGAAGTATATCTGATTGAATTTGTCTAACTTGAATGAACAATTTGAAACCATATTAAATATATCTAAGACAACTTATCGTAAAGGCTTGTAAAAATAGCAAAGCAATTTATGTACAAATTCGATAGTTGTTGATTTAATAAATAATAATTTGAATATTATTTTTATAGTTAATATTTGTATGATCATGGCATCTAATTTCTAGATGTAATGAAATAGGATAAAAGTCTAAAGTAAAAAAACAACATTGAGTTATCCAAACAAATTTAGGTTACCAAAACACACCTCAAGATATTTTTTTAAATTATTCTGGAGTGGATATCAAATCAAATTGCAGTTAAAAATGTGATTTCCATTGCAATCAATTTTGGTTTAATCCCATAAATGGTATTTATATATATGGCATGTTTTTCTAATACCAACAGAACTGTAAACCTGCAGTTAAATTTTACAAAGTATTTATAAATTCTACAGAAGAGATATTACTACCCAATTTTCAGTCTAATCTTCCCATAGTTGACCCAATTACATTATGAAAGATAATTATAAGGTTTCTGCTACATTGTAGCAAGTTTTTCTTAAATATTTCTTAATTCCAAAGAAACTAAAAAAAATAGTTATATCTGTACATAAATTTCTTACTAGCAATATCTTTGTTCAACAATGGTTTCAAAATGCAAGCCTGGACTACTGCTAAATTAGACAGTGCGCAATATAATGTGTACTCCCGAATCTGTGAACACGGGTTCTGAGAGTTCTCCAACCTTAAGTGCAAAAGCAGCATCTTCAAAAGGTTTCTGCATAGCTCCTTTACCAAAAGGACCCAAATCACCACCCCTTTTGGCAGAGGAACAGTCTGAGTATTTTGATGCTAGCTCAGCAAACGAATTTTTACCTTGAGCAATTTGTTCTCTATATGCTAAAAGTAAATTACATAGATTAGCTAATTGTAAATACATAATGTAAAAGCATCTTTCTACTTACATTTAACAATATCTAGAGCTTCATCTTTTGTGCGGACAATGTTCTCTTCCCTCCATGAAGAAGGCCTTCTAGAATCTTTATGTTTGACCAACAAATGTGAACATTGGACTTGTTCTGGACCACTAGATGACACTGGTTCTGCTGGCTTATCAGGAGCATCCCATTGAGATTCTTTCGTATATATATTCAAATAATAATGTTGACCTAAAACATAACAAGAGAATGAATATGACGTCGAGTTTTACACTAAATGATAAGTCTTTACTAATGAAGGATTTAGATCTATTACTATTAATAATTGATTTTATAAGCGAATTGAAAGACCAGAACATTAACTGATAAATATAGAATTTATTTATTTAATTAATAAAAGAATTTTATCTATTAAAATCTTACCAGTTGATCTACTAAGACGTTTTTCCCACCCGGCAGGTAATTGTTCGTCCGCCATTTTTATTTGTTATCAGTTATCACAATTGGCTTCCTTTTGACTTTTGACATTCCAATGAACTAACGGTCATTTGCAGTTGTGATTGTCTCTCTCTATTGTCACAGGCAGTATAGAGAAGGATAAAATACTTGTATTTTAAAGGTTGGCAGTACGTACTATTGACAGAACTTCATACCACTATCAAGGCTCGTTCATTTACGGTAGTATCAATAAAAGTTCGAGTATTTTCGTAAAAAATTTTAAATTTGATTGGTGTTTAAAATAATTTACAAATTTATGGATCTGGTTATATCCAATAAGAGTGTAGTTTGGGAAAGCGCCCACGTGTGTATGGTATATTCTAATAGCTCTGAAGATAGTCACAATTATTTGATAATCAGCTGTAGGGACGCCAATCACAATCACTGTTAGTTGTTAGTGGAGTTCGATTGACTGTGGAATGCGACACGTATGAGCGTTTTCCTCGAAATTAAACAAAATAATTCGGTAATTTGCTATTGTAGAATACTTTCGTAGTGATAATTTGTTGAAAAATATTACCAGACCTTAGCATCGGTTGTTTTTGTGAATAATGTGTGCTAAAGTTCAAGTTTATTAATTGCTGTTTTTTGAGGGGGTGTTATTAACAGGTGAGTACCTTTTGTTCTGTTAAAAATGTAGGTGTTCCAATAATTTGCATTCGAATAAAAAAAGAACCTTGCTAGTTTTGCATACGTAAGCATCGCTATTTGATAATATACATTTTAGTGAAAGTGGGTCAGAAAACTCACACCAAGCATAAAACTATAATTAATACAACAATAAATTGTTTATCCAATCGAAAAATATTACACTAATTGAATACAATATGTGCAAAAGAGAAAATCTTCACGGGATTACCTAATAAAGTAAATGGTTAGGAATGGTTGAAAGGTAGTTGCCCTTTTGTAAAATGACAAAACAATCTGTTTTGGTTTGGTTGAACAGGTATCACGCAGGTAGATGATTAGCATCGTGAGTCATTGAATCGGTCGTGGCTACTTAACCTACTAGGGATACATTATAATTGGATTGTATTTAATCTATTTTTTACTTTCATATATCTTGATTATGGAAAACACGAAAAATATAAAAAAAATAGTAATCAGAAACATGTTTTCGTAATTTTTTTCTATTTATATAGAGAAAATAGAGAAAAATAAGAATTAGATTGAGTTTTATTGCAATAATGCTTAATTATTATTTTACTCTCCAGATATACCTACTTAAATTCGTTTTTTAAATGTACCTAATCACTTTTATTCTGTATATTTGTTAGCGAGTATATAATTTTATTAAAGGACCACCTGATTTGTATACAGGGCTACGCAATTGAACTGTTACCTATTCAAACGACCATAATTTTTTTGTGCGAAGTTATTTTTTATTATTTTTCAATTTCAATTTTTTATTATTGATTCAAATGACAAAAATGTGTGAAAATAATCAAAATTTCATAATCCACTCACTTTAGCTCGATGTGGCCACCTTTTGCCTTGACTATGGCCTTCAAACGATCAAAAAACGAGTAGCATGCTGCACGATAGTGATCTTCCGGTATTTTGGCCCATTTACGTGTAATTGCTTTCTTCAGCGCATCCATACTGGCATATTTTTTAGCAGCTTCTAAAACATTTTCCTGATAATAAGTTGCATTGCTTTGACACCAGATTCAATAAAAACGATTGGAGAGCGTCCATCGGCGGTTATAAGTGCCCATGCCATTACTTGAGATGGGAAATTACTTCGTGTGGCCGTTCGTAAGCGTAAATTTCGTAGGTGCGTTCGGTCAAGTAAACACGATCAGTTTGAGACTTTATGAACTGCTCAATAGGGAAATTTTTCTTATCAGAGAACACTATGTTCGGAAATTCGCCACTTTCGTGCAGGCGTAACAACTCCTTTGCTCTTTCAAGCCGAACTTTTTTTTGCTTTGACGTAGCTGTCATTATCGATTTGCCAGATATATCGATGTGAAGTTGGTAACAGTTCAACTGCGTAACCCTGTAGTGTGTTCAGTAAATTGCATTAAATTTGCTTTTTCATCGTGTTTACTAAGAGTCACGTATTGTTTTATTACTCAATTGTAAAATTCAATCACCGCCGAGCTTTAATAATCTGCTTACTGCACTGCTGGAACACCTACCATCTTTTCCTAAATTGTATTTTCTTTATTTATATAAATGTTTAATCTTTTGTCTCTCTCTGCATCTGCTTTGCGTTTTCCCTTGGATTCCCTGCGCTCGCTTTCGCGGATTCTTGATCTTTGGAAACGTGGAAAGTCATTGGGAGTTAGGTCGGGGCTATACGGTGGATGGTTTAACAATTTGATGTTTTGAAGCTCCAAAAACTCTATTGACTTCTGGACAGTGTGAGCACTTGTTTGTCCTGATGTAGGTTGATTTGCCGTTGTGTGTTACTTTGTCGAAGTTTCGCGATAACTTCTGTAAACAAACGGTGACATATCAATCAGAAGTAACCGTTCTTCGATTTTATAAATCAATTGTTGCCACGTGACCAGATTTTGACACAAAAGTTGTAACCATTTTCTTTGACACACTTCGAGAACGGATCACTTTTGTTTGTTTTTCCTAATCGTGAAACACCCACACAGCGGATTGGAGTTTATTGTTCGGTTCTTAGGAGTAAATACAAGATTTGTCGACACTAACAATACTGTAAAAGTTTTTTGAGCTTCCTTTGTTGAACCGTTCCAATATTTTTCGACACCAATTAACGCGAACTGCATTTTGCTCTTTTGCAATTTTGTAACACACATTTCTTCAAGTAGGATCTTTTGGATCAGGGTCGTTGAAATGTCCAAAGGTGCCTCTATCTTCCGGTATGTTATACGGCAGTCATCCTTAATTTCCTGATGAACCGCATCAATGTTTTGTTGTGTAATTGCTGTTTTGGGTGGACCTGGCCTGCCGTTCAGCTCGCGGAGATAAAAATACGGCCGAGGCCAGAAGTTCCTGTCTGTCATAAGAGGCCACTAATAGGAAGGAACTGAGAGGTGGAGAGCCGTCACTTGAGGTGTCGGGTTTGTAGAAACACATTCGGGAGGCTTAAGCATCTCGGTCACCAGTCTACACTCCTGGTATCCGAGACGAGACTCTCGTGGGACCACTCTACTCTCTTTCCACAAGAATAAGGTGAGGTTGAACGAGCTGAGCCCGTAAGCACCACTTTCGGCCCGCACCACAAAAAGTGGCGCCGGTGTCTCGGCACGTACCCACCTGGGTGATTTAAGAGTGGTAGAGCACAGATCTTCGGTGGCGATCTGTGTACGTGCGAGGTGGAATTGATCCGCCTGCGTCGCCTTTCCGCCCCGGGGGACTCACGGACGCGTGACGTAATCGCAACACAGGATCTACGGGGAGGGTGGAGCCACATGATGTCTCGGCATCGTGCCACCCTCATTTTGGTGTCGGACTCGTAGGGGCTGTTAAGTCGGTTACGGTCGTATGCCTTACCAGCCATGAAGACCAGGGTCCAGCCAGTTTTTATAATGGAGGATCACGAATATAGCCACGAGACTGTCACCACGTTGAAATTCGCAATACCAGCGGGAAATAGTTGACTGGTATGATGCGTTATTCTCAAACATATAAACCATTTTTGCGAGACATTGCTGTTAGGATAATACTATCAGAAAATTGTAAAAAATTAGTGCTTGAAAATTTTCTCGGCTAATATCCATTTTTCGACCGACTTTTTAATTTCAAAAGTTCATTGTATCTACCCGACTTGTTGTATCGCAATGAAACTCTCGATTTATGTCAACAAAAGATTGAGGTTACATTTGTGTTGGAAGCTAAGATGGGGAAGGCGGCGTAAGAGGATGTGGTACAATCATGTAAGATGATTGGATGAGAATAGGCTCCCAAAAATTGCCCTAGAAAACAACCCGCCCCATTCAAGACCTCCCGGAAGACCACCTAAAAGATGAAGGAATAGTTGACAATCTACCTCCCAGGAAATTAACCAGAGGCAGCTTCAGAATTAAACAAATCGAAAAATCTCCAAGAAGTAGAAGAAGTTTTTTTTGAGTGTATATGCAAAACTAAGAAGACAAACCTCGTATATTTGATTAATTTCAGTAATATTGCTTCTTATCTTACTGGCCTAATCAGGGTTCCAGTTTTCTTACATTGTTGATATTTACGACTATAAAATGGCAACAAGTAGTGTTCAATACACTCATTTTTAGCTAATTAATTACATAAATAGTCAGACTATTTGCGGTATAGTGATGCTCTAAATCCATATGGATGTGTAATATTCACACCCTATCATGCAACTCAATAGGCCCAACCTACATTTCCGAGGAAGCAAAAAATAGAAAAAAAAGGGTTGGTTTTGTGTTAACGCGAAGGTCAATTTTCAATAAACATGTAAAATATTGTCAGATAATATTATGTAGATGAGTAGAAAACAGAAATTAGTTAAGTGAACATTGTCTTACGGAATATTTTACTTTACGAAAATATTTTTGGCTTGAAAGATGTTGTTATATTTCTATTTTCGCTGTGTTGTTGAAAAAAGTCGAATGGAAACTTTCACCCAATATTTTATCATAGACAGGAACATATTACACACCGGGCCCTTTTTCAGAACGTCCAACTACTGGATACACAATTTCTCAAACTTCTCCCGATTGATACGAGCTAGAAGAATTTATGATTGGTTTCTGAGGGACCTAACTTAGTTTATCTCGTTTATATTTTATCTTGCGGGTCATCATTTATCAGTTTGACGTTTTTATCAACGCTTCTTTTAGTTTATAGCGGGTCGACGTGTATATTTTTCTCTAACTGTGGATTGTAAATATCCTTAATGGGATTTAGTGGTTCATAAATAACGAAAATATTTCTCCTTGTTGGAGATGAAGAAGTGGGAGTGGGAAATGGGCAGGACTGTGTAAGAACGGATGGAAATTTGCTATAATCATTCTAATTTCGCTCAATCTAATAGGTGTTTTTTAAAGGTATAAAGCTTTGAATTGGAATA